GTGTGCAATATGTTTCCACTCCTATGTATTGTAGGTACATATGTGCATGTGTGTTGGTGAGCGCGAATGAATGCCTGAAGCGCAAGTGCACGTATACATACACACATGCATACACATGTATTGGCTTTACAAAAACAACTTTTCAACTTTTTTATATCATTTACACACACCCACACACCTTTTAGTCCCTTCCTAGTAGGTGCATGTATGCATGTACATATGTTTGTATTCTTTGCTTGTTTGTTTTTGTTGTGTTTTGTTTGGTTGGCTCAGCATGTTTTGCCACAATGAAAAATTACCAATTTTCACACATTGCACACTTGAAATTTGTATTTGTCCCACCGCCACCACCACCAACACACACATATATATTGCCGGTCTGATTGGCTGCCTGACACTGCCAACTGGCAATTATAATAAATTTGCTGTTATTTTTCGTCGAAAATTAAAATTCGATTTTTCGCTCCTTGCCCGCCGTTGCCTTGAACCCGCCGCTTGTTTGTGCAAAGTATTTATTATTCAAGCATTCGTCTTTTGTTTGCCGTGAATTATTCAACAACTTGCGCGTGTGTAAATTTTATAGCAGGTGGGTGTAATATTTTATGGTACTGGCATTATTATGAATTCCCTATATGAGATTTCGTAATTCAATCAAAAATAATAATAAATTACCACAAAATTTAGAAAAAAGATCGAGTGAGTTGTATAGATTGTTTTTGTTCCTTTTTGCTAACAAATAACGCTGCCTTGAAAATAAGGAAACATTTTAATCAACAAAACAAACTCGTGCTGAGTGGACACTCGAAGGAACACTTTTGATCTGCTGCTAGGAAGAATAACAAACAGTATCGAAAATACAATGCCGAATGAATTATTGTACTACTAAAGATCTAATGATTTCAGAATTTCACTGTAGCAAAATATCTTGAGAAGGTGGCGGTTCCATTTAATTTGAACTGAACAGACATTTCAAGGCGAGCATAGTTTTAATTGGAACCAAGAACTTCAAAATTCAACTATTAGAGAAATTATGCAAAACCATTTAAAGGATAGTGTCCACTCTCTAATTAATTTTCTGTATTTCAAAAATCATTGCATCATCACAGATGCTATTGACCTGTAAGAGCTGAGTGTTGAGCGAAACTGCCAAACACAATATCTGATATCTGTGCTTATATACGACGATATAAAAAATAATATTTCTCTTCAAATATCTTTATACTCATGATTAAAATACTGAGTCGCAAAATAACCTCAATTAGCCCGTAATTATAAAAATACAAATTCCCACCACACAATTTGCCGACTGGTGTAACTTTCGCAGTACCAATATGTTTCCTTGTACAGGCAAGATTCAGGAGCTCTAGATCCAACCAACCAACCCTCTAGGAACCGTGCGGCTTTATATGTCACTTAAATATCAAATATGGTACACGTTGGTCACAGCGGAACCGTTTGCAAAAGAAATCATTCTTACCTAAATTTAAGCCAGCTCTGTGTCTTAACATATATCATAATATATAATATACCATAAACATGGCAAGTGGTCCTGCATTAGCATCTACTGCAATCGGAGCAACTTTTGCTCACGTTACTTCTTGAGGTCCCAGTAATTCAGGCACGATTACTCGTATCTTCCCTTAAATCCAACCATCGAAGACCAATATCTGACAACGTTTAAAGTCTCATATATGTAATATGTCAGTTTCCGATATTCTTTAGTCTAGAAATTTGTTATGTAAAACTTATGCAAACTTCAACCGTTAATAGCTTTTAAACGGTTAAGTTTCCGAAAAAAGTCGTTAGAGGTCATTTTGTAGAGCATCCAATTTTCTATGAAATTCTTGAAACGAGATATTTTTCGAGTAGTTGAAAGCGAGGTATGAGTTTTTCTATCAAATAATAAAAAAAAACTGGTAAACTGTAAGACGGAGAACCCTACAATTAGGAGCTCGTGCTTAGAGAAATTTTCTTAGAGGTTTATAAGAACCGATTTTTAAGAGTACCAAGCGAAAAGAAATCGATTTTTTTCTGGACCCACCTAATGTACATTTTTCATTAAAATAACTGAATAAAAAAAGTTCCAATTTGAAAAAAAATTGTTTATAACAATGAACCCTATGTTTCTAAAAAAATTCCACATTTATCTCATTGGAAATCTGTGAAAAAATTGTAATAAATAATTTTATAATGAAATACTTTTCTTTGTATACAAAAATATTTAAAGGTACATTTTGAAATTTCATAATCCAAAATTTTTCATATTGATTCGAAATAAAAAATTCGTGTTTAATATTTTGCCTCAAAAAACACAAAAAAAAAAAATTTTGGTATGAAAAAAATTTTCGATTGAATGATTCATATGCTCGTATTATGCTTAAGATTGGTCGATTTAGAGATTTTCTGTCCTTCTATTAACTATTGAAAATATATACATATGTACATATATCTTAATAGGATATGCTGAGCGACCTATATTTTTTCGTAATTCCAATCAGGCATTTTCCACTTGATTTATATTATTTGATATAAATTTTGCTTGATAGCAAGCAATCTTTGTTATATTACTACAATGTGGTAACATTCAATTGTTAGTTTCGGTCTCAATTCTTATACTCTAACCTTATCGCTTACTGACTCGTAAACTCTTGCCCGGTGATAATAGAACGCCAACTAAAATGAATCCCGTAGTTATTATTATAGTGCGTACTTTGTATGAATAAACAATTAAACAAGTTATTTGTAAGCTAGCTTTCTTCGATTCGCCACTTCGGTACATTGAAATTCTGCTCTCTTATAAAAGAACTACTTGTAAATTCATTAACACAGTTATTATGTTGAATTTAATACAAGAGAGCACATGTCATTAAAGTGGTATTGCCGTTTGCTATTTTATGTCTATTTGATTATACCAGTCTATGTAATTTATACCACTTGTCGACATCCACTAAGACTCGCTGTACTCAAGACTACTGCTATACGCGACTATTTAACTATAATTGGCTTATGTACTAGCTAGGCGTCCTTTGACGGCATTTAATTAGAGAATTTGCTCGGCATTCAAAGTGACACAATAAGCGCTTTGTCCGGCAACAAGCACAGCTGATTAATTTCTATAGCAACCATTGATGAGCTGCTTATGCAACAGTGAGTTCATATGCATAACGACATTGTAGTTATAAACATATTACGTTCCTCACATGCACTTAATATTATATTATATAACAAAATACAAGGTGTAAGGTACGAGTATGTCTAAATATTGCAAGACATAGTGAAACGCAGGTATATAGAATTGCGCGTATGTCAATCCTGAAAGCACCATGAAAGCACAAAATTGCTGACGTTAATTAAAAAAGAGTAAAATTTATTTAGCTGTGATAATTTTATAATATGATAAATAATCATGTTCGATGAATTAATACTTGGTTCATTGGTTTGCTTTGCCTCATGAAAGCCAAACGAAAACGATAATAACGTTAATACTCGTAGGATGGACGCGCACATTTTTGCCAAGCACGTGGTCCATCTGCTCATCCTGCCATATCTCAGTCACTGTTGGACGGCATAGTATAATTAAACAGACCTTAATAATGTCATGAACAGAACCTTGGAAACACACTAAAAGTGGTATGCCTAGAAATAGAACGAGCTTTGTAGGCCTTGATCAATAATTCCTTTCATAGATGTTATGTACGCAAGACTATAAATTTTATGCGGATACAATAGCAATATCCCCTCAAATATAATAAATAATTTTTGTTTCAGACACTTTGCGTTGTAGCACTTTGAAACAACTAAGCAGTTTCGCTCAGTAAACTTCACAAAGACTACCTCTGAAGGTCTGCTCATATACCAACTAGAGATATGTATGGGAATGTCGCTGAAGAAGAGGCGCAGTGAGCCTTTTCAAAGATGGGTCGGGGATTGGAGGGTCAGTTTTCTGTAAGGAGCTCTCCGTCAAACTTAGCCTTGGGCTACCGAACCACTTTAGTATTTTTCAGGCAGAAGTGGCGGCTATTAAGACAGCCGAAGCCGTTCTGCTAAGGAGTGCAGCCTCTTTCAGGGAGGTGAGCATTGATTTCGACATCCGAGCGGCAATACTAGCGCTAAGCTCACTAACTGTGCGCACAAAGCTAGTAAAGGAATGTCTATCCTCACTAAAAATAGCATTAAGCAACTTCATCATCAGACTCGTTTGGGTGACTGGTCATAGCGGAATCGCTGGTAAACTGCAAAGCCGATGAACTAACATCGGAATTGAACCGAGTTGGATCTCCATTGGCATCTTGCCTTCTAGCACTGATCCAATGAACTTCGCATGCGCTTAGCCGCCGACCCGCTCCTTTGTGACTGCATGATCTTTTCGGCCTAGAGTTGAACGCAGGAGATCTACTGAGCTACTTGCCTTTAACAAACCTCATCTTGCCGCAATCGTAGCGGTTCTTACTGGATATTGCCCAATAAGAACTCATGCGGTAAGACTAACTTATCTTGTTGGATGCAAGTTGTCAAATTTGTATAGGGTGAGGTGGAAACATCCAGACAATCTCTTCTCGATTATCCAGTCTTTGCGAGTCTAGGAGTTTTAAGTAACACAACGAACCGTCATTCTAGTTTAGCTTCAGCAAGTTAGATTTTAATCTGTTTTTTACAAAAATTGCCATTTTTACAGGAGTCTTAGTTCAAAAGCGAGTTGAAAGTTAAAGACGCATTTAGTAAAATCATTAAGCTTGTGATGATTATGTTATAATTATTAAACTCAGCAAATCTCTGTTCCATTTCTAAATTTGTTTTTTGTTTAATAATTTTGAGAGTTGATTAAAATAAGTTTCAGTTTCTAGAAGTTGCTGTTGGCAGATTTAGATTTTTTAGAGATTATGGTACATATGGTACTCAAATATTTAGTAAACTAAAACATAATTATTATAAAATGTAAATTTAAAAATCCTTTTATTCGTTTCGTTTATTATAAAAACATATTTGTTATCGTAACTTACCTTTCGACGGAATTTCAGGCCAGGCCGTGACAGTTAAAAGGCCAAATAACGAACCAAAAATCCAGGGTAGTGTTATTGCATTACTAAGCTTCATTTTAGTAGTTTGTTGTTACTCCCAGCTGACTATGGTGGCTTTAGTTTGTAAAATTTTTCACTTTGTAGCTCTTTTTTTATTTAGAAAGATTTTGATGCAGTATGTCTTACATATGTTTATAACTGCTACATTTTGTTATCCGTTCACTCTCAAGAGATTTGAATCTTTAGTAAACTTTGTAGGTCGCCATTGCTAGAATTTTTGTGTTTTCCTGAAATAAAATACAGGAATTTGTTTTATTTATTTAAATATAAAATATATGTATACATATGAATAAAATTGTTTTTTTTATTCCTTTTAAAATTATGCTTTAGTACTAGTTTAAATTTAACTATCCACTGACGGTTGCTTGGGCAGGTTCACTTGAAGCAAATCGTGAAATAATTTTTAATAATGAGAACGCTATTCTACACAAATTATTAAGTAATTAAAGAAAGTCAAATCGCTATAGGTGACCGCAAATATTTCCTGTTTGTAATCGTCCTTTACATATATATATAACCAGTATATATTAAGTAAAGCCCATGCACAAAACCAAACATTTATTTTGTAGACCTGTGTAATCATTGTATATATGCTAGTTGTATTGTATAAAATGCAATTATTATCTCATAGCTTTGGTGTCAGTCAGCACTGAAATCAGTGTGCCCTTTAGAGCACTTACTGCTCTTTTAAAGATGTGGGTGAAACTGATACTAATGTGAATCAGTCTAAGTAGATGACAGATTGTATCTCCTCTATCGTAATGTAGGCAAAATATCTTAGGACGTCTGAAGTTACAAAGTGGTGTCAGTGTACGAGTATATCACACAAATACTTATAAATGGTCAATTAAATTGAATATGGAAAACATCAGCCAGGGGAAAGTTTCAACTGATTACATTAACTTTTGACATTGCTGAAGTATACTCGTGAATGTCTGCTAGAATAACGAAAACTATGATATTTAGTATATGGGAGCTGAGCTAATACTTTGACCGATTTCTCACCCGGAAATTTGAAATTCTTATACTACGTACCATATATGGGATTACGGTTCGTATTAACCGTATTATATCCTATTTTGGAAATTGTCTCAAGTTTCATTAAGATAACTCGTTAATTGACCATTTATGAGCTATAAACTCAACCGGATGTTTGAAAATCCCTTTACAAGGTAAATTTGGGCTAGAGGAATTACTCATCCGCTTTTATTCATTTTAGGCACAAGAATACACTGTTATTAGAAAGAGATTTTAATTATGATAACTCTTATATTGACCGATCTATACCATAATAAAGTCAACCAGAAGTTCGAAAAGATTTATATAAGCAATATGGGAGCTGGGGGAGTTATTTATGCGGCTTTACCCGTATTTGGCACAAAATCATACTGTTATGATAAAAATATACTCTATCGAAATTTTAATACTAAATATCATGGATTTATCGACATTTTCGTTAAAAAGATAACAATAGGCACTGAGTTCCATATATTCGATATCTGGGGACCTGAAAAGTTATGGTCATATTTCAAAAATTTTCGTACGTAAGATGGTACATGTTAAAGGCACTATTTGTGCAGAGTTTTAATTCGATAATGTCGTTGACTCTCGAGTTATATACTATGGAATTAAAGAATCAGGTGGAGTTTCAAAATAATATACATATATAGGCGTGGTTGAAGTCCAAGATATAGGTTTTCACCTAAAGTTGTGTGGTACCACACATATTGTGATTGATGCAGGCTCCTATGGGGCCCTTTTGTATCATATAGGATGTGAAGTGTAATGCTCCGTATTTAGTTGGTGAGTTATTGTGCTTGTACCATAATCGTTATACGGGGAGCATGCGGGATTTTCATACTGCCGAAGGAATTGCTGAAAATATTTCTCCTGCGTGAATTTGGTTAAAATAGCTTTAGTGGTTTGTGAGATATGTTATGTATATTAAATTTATTGAGGAGCGGTGCCAACTATGCAGCAGATGAACATTGCATTATTATCAAAAACAAGTGAAGTATTTCTGAATGAAATAAATTAAAATTGGAAATCAGTGTAGGTGTTTTTTTTTTATTTTACAAAGAGTCTTATTAATGACAACCTTTCATATACTTGCCCACCCAGTTCTGAAACATTTACCACTTTAGAGTTGTACTAATTTTTAAGTACACAGTCGTGCAACAAAGAGGTGTGAACACAGAAATTTGGTCACCTCTAATCACTTGTGTTAGTAAACATTGGCCAGCGCACAACGTATAATCATCATTTGCAGGAACAGCAACAACAACAGCAACTCACATGCAATTACACATACAAACATAGACATACACTTGCCAAATTATCACACTAACTGTAAGTGTAAGCAACCAACAGTTCGAGCGCTTTGCACTGCCATCAGAGGACTCGAGCATTCCGTACTTAACTTTAGCCTACAATTAGGCGCTGTGGCGACTTTCGCTCTTATGGCTTTGAGCGTGCTAAATAAGTAGTTGAAAAACGCATGTATAGCCCTGTTTGCTTTCTGTTAGTAGTTGATTTTTACTTTGCTGCTGTTGTTTGCCTCTTTTCGTGCGCTATGCTGCTGAAATTTGTTTAAACTCACTCGAATAGCTCTGGACAGCTAATGTTGGCTTAATTTGTCTTTTTGCCTATCTATGTTTATGTGTGTGTGTTTGTAGGAAGCTTAGCATCCGCCTTCTCAACTTATGCTCACGTCTAGTTCAACTTAACTCCTCGTCACTTTCTTGTTAAATTCAATCAATTTCGAACGCATTCCGACCCTTTCAATTTCGCACATTCACGCCACAACACGTCTCAGCCGCCTTTGCCATTCTGCTACAGTCTGTATATGTATATGAAGACGAGAAAAACCAAGACGAACAAGCAGAAGAAGAACGCAGCACCGCAGACAAGCACGAGACGTGGAAAAAAGTGCCAGCTTAGTCTGTCGCATGTTTTGAATGGCTTAAGTCGTCTCTCTCTTCTAAATTGAGCATTTGCGTACGCCAATTTGATGTGACGCGACGACATCGACGTTGACAACGGCAAGGCAACAAGAACATCACATTTTTGTGGGCAGACAGATAAAGTTTTCCAACATTGCGTTGTGGCACAAAGGAAGCGCAGCAGACTTGTATCTTTCACAATTTTTTTCTGCCCGTTTTGTTGTTGTTTGTGTTGATGCGTTAAGCACTTAAGTAGGATTTACGAAAACTATTAGTGGTGTTTTTGGATATTTGGAGCAAAGTCTGAGCAATTCGTGTGGCATATTGTGATATGTTTACTTAACGAAATGTTCGCAATGCTTTATTGAGATTTGTATACTATGTGATTTATCAACTTATTTTTCAAACGTTGAAAGTCTGTTTGCTTATTGACATATTTCAATCATAAAATATTTATCGATGACGAAGCGAATTTTTATACAACCAAGACCGTATTTAGCTTAATATATATTGACACTTTCTCTAAATACGTTCTATCTGTTTTAAAGTTACACCAAATTGAGTTGAAGCAGACCCAGAAACGGCGAGTGATTTCGAAGAAATGGTGGATGAAACTTTTTTTTAGGTTTTGGCTCATTTTTAATCCGTCATTCGCAAGATTTTTGGATAGCTAAGATATCATATTCATAAGCCCACGTCTTCTCAACAACAATAATGCGTTTTATGAAAGTGTAAATAAACTGTGCAGTTTATCAAGCATCTGTTTTGAGCCCTCAGGTCTTTGATAAAAAAAGTTAACCAAAATTAGTTGCGTCGATCCATAAGAGGTGTTGAGATCATCTGCTATCCCTCTGATGTCAACACGATGACTTTCATGCACTCTGTTTTTATATTTTTCGATATTATTGTCATTAACAGAAGTGGACAGACCACTCGCTTGAGATAGACTTTCGATGACTATACGACCTTCACTGTATGATTTGCGCCACTCTAATACTTGCGTCTTTAGCAAACAGCTGCCGAGCATACCAATTGACATATGGTGATCAAACATCACATGAACATAAAAAAGGTTTAACCAATCTAGATAGAAAAAATGTGTCGATCCGGTTTGTGCGCGCTATTAAAACAGTCAAATATCACTTAATTTTTGAGTCAAGTACTAATTTTACTACCAAAGAATGAAATGTGTAATATAGGCTATAACATAAGTCTTTTACAATAAAAACATTCTAAAGTGTCATTATAATTGTAGATTAGATAGTATAACCCAATTACTTTAAAATGTCCATCAAAGGCTGGTCTTCGTTCAAACCCCTCTTTTAAGGAAAATGTTACACTACTTTATACAATTTTAATTCCAGTGAGTTTAAAAACTCGCAAAGGCAATATGCTAGCAACTCATTTTCTTACTCCACTTTACCAAATATCTGAAGATGGGATCTTCAAATAAGTGTCCTATAATAAATATCACAATGTTATTTAGTTCCCTAAAAGTAAGATATGTTTGCTATATCCGCCATCAACACTTCCCCAAAAGTACTTTTGTACTTTTATAACCTGACTTTCTAGTGTTTCAAGCCTTGAGATGTTCCTCTAGGGCCCATTGCTGCGAGCAACTGTTGAAGGAGCTGAAAGGTCTTGGGAAGTTTAGGAGAATTGCATTCCTGACTGCCCTCGAGTGGGTCGACTTGTCTGCTTTTTTGTTTCCTTCTATTCTCAAAGGATCCCATAAAATGTTTACCGAGTTTCTCACTGAAAGCCTGTTATTTTCTCCTAATATAGCCGCTTGGCAATCCACTAGAAGATTAATTGAATTCCTGGTTAAAGCAGCAGCCCACTTCGCGCCTTTTGTTGTGCCAACAATTTCGGCCTGAAATACTGAATTGTAGTCATTTACTTCAAAGCTACATTCTTTGTGTGTATGTAACAGAAGAAGACTCCTCCTGTTCCTGTTTCCCCCCTTTGATCCATCGGTGAATGCATAAATTTCGCCGTTGGTACTGTCGATCACAAAACCGTTGATTCATTTCTTTCTACGGGGGAATATAAGCGTTGTGTTTAACTCCGCAGTATTCTTCTTTTATGTCATATTTGTAATCCCAGGGCCTTTGTTGAGTTCGCTTCTAATGGGCCCAGAATGAATAGCAGGCATACCGACTGCAACTGTTGCAAGATTTTAATACGGCACTATTTTGTTACTACCATCCATCCAACCAACGAACCATATGTTGTGTGGGATTGATGACACTTGCGTAGAGCGCCAATAAACTATGTGGGGTTGT